ATGGTGCGGCGAGTGCAGAATGGAACTGCTGGGCGCAGTGCTAGTCGCCGGATGAAGTGAGGGCCTCACCCCAACGCGGCCTTAGCTCCCTCGGAAGAACCGAGCACCTTGGCAGCAGCTGGGGAAAGGGCACGTTAAGAATCTTGAGGAAAGGGGATTCTTTCTACCATAATGAGTCAATAATAAACTTTTACCTATGTTTTCCTCACTGCCATTTCACAGTTTAGTTTATAATCTAGAGTCCCCAAACCATGGCCAGGATCTCTTATAATAACCAGGAGAATAAACCAGAATGTTTTTACTACACTTTTAAAAAAATATTCTCTTATACATATCAACTCCTTAATTTTCACTAATTATCAGTATACAGAAGAAAGGGGAACTTGGAATGATTATGATAGTAATAGCTAAAATCTATTGAACAATTACAACATGGCACGCACTGTTCAAAACATTTCACATGCATTGTCTTGTTTTACCCTCATATTTTACCCTGTGAGGTAGATGCTTTATTTTCTCCATATTATAGAAGGAACAAAGTATATGGAGAGAAAATGACTTGCTCCAAATCACACAACTTAGTAAGTGGTCCAGCTGAGATTTGAAAGTAGGCAGTCAAACTCCAGAGTCCCAGAGAAGCCGGCACCCACTGGTACTGGCTTCCCGGTGTACACTGTGTTTCTGCCAGACCTTCTGTCCCAGATCCCTAACCAATCTTCTATCCTTGAAAGTAGAACTGAATGCCACCCAAATCTTCAAGACCCTTTAACTAGTCTCCTAAGACATAGCCAAGCCTACTAAGAGTGTTTCTATATTCTAACGACTTACTCCTGTCTCACTTTCTGGGACTTTATTGATGTTGGAGGCTTCTCTGAGCTGTCTTATTCTTATTGCTTGAGAAACATCCACAAGTGAATTTTAAAACGCTTTTTCTTCTCTCTGAAAGCTCTGACCCCTTAGACCTAGTTGTCTTGTGTACTTAATCCTTATCTGAGTTCTACTTCCCTTCTTGAAGATGGTTGTAGGAAATACTTGATGTGAGATTGAAACTAAGCAGGTTGTTTAACCAACTGACCATGTACTTAACCTCTGTAACCCTTTTTTGTTTTTAATAGTGATTGAGTTTCATTGAAGCTTCTGGCGATTTTAGTGCCTTAAAGATTCTTTGTTAACAGATTGCCTTTAGAAAGCTAAGTGTCAGGAAAGCCCATTTTTAATTTATCAATGGCACCCTTACTCTTAATATGCTTAACCATACTTTACTTTTGAGGGCAGAATTAATCTTTTATCAGACATATCATGGATGCTGTTGGTTTCATTATTTCAGGAAAACGTTCTTATGATTGTTTTAGAATTAATGCTACTCACATACCTCTTTTTTTCCCCCAATATCTGTTCAGCATAGATAAGAAAGTTACAAAAAGAGTCATCCATATTAAAGCTAATGCAAAAGAGATGTAAGTAGCTGCTGTTTGAAAAACCAACAAAGGCCGGGCTCTTTGGCTCAGCCTGTAATCCCGTGCTTTGGGAAGCTGAGATGAGTGGATTGCCTGAGCCCGCAGTTCGAGCCTGGCTGGGCAACTTGGCGAGACCTCATCTTCACAATAAATCAAAAATTAGCCGGGCATGGTAGTGCGTGCCTGTAATTCTGGCTACTTGGAAGGCTGAGGCGGAAGGATCGCTGGAGCCCAGCAGATTGAAGCTGCAGTGGCCAGGAGCATGCCACTACACTCCAGTCTGGTTAACAGAATGAGACTCCAACTCAAAAAAAAAAAAAAAAAAAGAAAAGAAAAACCAACAAA